ACCTCCTACAGCACAGTGTCTCTGGTCACCATACTGAAGCATTGCTTTCAATATTCTAATCCGGATGGAAGAGCACCACCTACTGGTCCACCAACGTTGCTTACAGTAGCAAACCTTTACTCCCTTGCAAGTGGTTCTTCCCCACCCCACCCCCTCCCACTCCCACTCCCACTCACAACCTGGCCAGAGCACAGCACAGCTCTGACAGGAAGCTTACCATCGTCAATACCACTTTCACCTAATACGTTTTAGTCTCAATCTGCTGCATGATTACCTGCATGTCCCAGAGATCTGCTGTGATTCTCCATATCCTTTACATTACATTATACTATGACGAGCCACAGATTACCACGGTAAACCCTCACAGGGTCCCCAAGGGAAGCTGAGAGCAGGCAGGAGTCGACAGGAGTCTCCAGGTCTCTGAACCAAGTCCATCTCGATTGTAGATGCTCTGTTCCATCAAGCCCAGTCTCGCCACACGGTCCACTGGCCAGGGTCATGGGTCATAGGTGGGGGGTGAAAGGTCACTACCAGGGCCATGCTGGTGGTGGAACTGATGGGCAGGGACCTACACTGACAGGGCCGAACTCTTGTTTTTTCTATATAATAGAGGGTGAGAGCTTTGACACTCCTCTCGTCTCTGTTTCTTTCACCCCCTCCATCTCCCCCTCTCGGCTTTGATCCCGGCCCAGAGTGCCGTTATCAGAATGAGGTTAAACACATGCAAAATATTTACAGCGCCTCCGAACACGGAAGGCACGAGGCTTTGCACAAAGGCTAAACACACAACTTGCCAAGCACCTCAAACAGACGGTTTTGAACTGCGTTCGGAGATAAAACCGCCTATCTGGGAGGAACAGGTTGGCTCTGGAGGTTTGGTTCTGTTAGCAGGCTGCCCAGGCAGGGGCTGCAGATCCCCCCGGCGCCCTGCTGTCCTCTGGGAGGGGGGTGGGGGCAGCGAGCGCGGGGCCTCGGACTGGCAGGCAGCTCACGAGACTAATTACTGGCCTGCGAGCGCCACAGTCCCCCGCGGCCAGAGACCCGCTCGGCACAGAAAATTGAACAAGCGTTTGCCGTCACTTGCGGTCACAGTGAGCCGCTGACAGAGCAATTACTGGTCCCCTGGGGCTGGGGGAACTCGATAAGGCAGCAGGGCTCTATTACAGGGGTCCGCTGGGGCGGGGTGTAACGCTACCCCTGCAGACGGGACCACGCTGGGACGCCCGGAGCTGCCCACCGATCCGGGCCTCCGGACCTGCAGCCAGGGTCCGGTCCGTCACCCTCCCTGGCAGACTCTGGGCAGCCGGGTCAGCGGACCCCGACAGGTGAGCTGTGGGGAGAGAGGAGACCCGGGCCCTGGCCCGACCCAGACCCAGACCCTGGGCCGACGGGACCGCGCGAGAGCCGGCGCTGAAGACTTACACTGCACATCTACTCGGATGGACTTGATGGCAGGCACCCCCACCCCGTTCTCCGCCTTGCAGTAGTACCGGCCGCCCTGCAGCCTCTGGATCCGCTCGATGCGCAGTGTCTCGTTGAAGATCGACGTCTCCTGGAACTTGTCCGAGGCGCTGCCTGCAGTCTTCGTCCACCGCACCTGCACAGGGACACAGACACAGAGGTGAAG